GGTTTTTTACCACAGTTTTTTATATCAAATTTCTGAAGATTACCCGTTTCTGTTCAGAAAGTTTAGTGCCTCGGTACAAAAAGCTCTGCTCTAGGCAATAAGACATTGATTATACCGCTTAAGCAATTTGAAGAAAACAATAAAGCTCCTGACAAATCTCTGAATGTTCCGATTGCCCTTTGATGTATCTGAAGTAGTTTCTGGCAAAGCAAAAACAAGAAATTGAATTCATTTTTAGAATTATCAGCCCTCTCCCCCACGCGATTGTTATAAAAATTTTGCTTTCAAGAAGGTAACAGACTCGGTTGTTATTTACACAACTCATGACAACAAAATAAAAAAGTGTCGTGGAAGAACACCAAAAAGTCAGTTAGCAGCCTATGGAGAGGTGTCTTCAGCACAAAGTGTATAATAAGACAAAGTGGTGTGAACAGGCTTAAAGCCTTATGATGTTCATTCGAACCGGCGCCACTAAAATTGTGGGGGCCTGGCGATTCGCATGCGTGCCTATTTTGGCATGCATTAATTACTAATTACAGATTTGGCTAGCTGCATGCTGTTCAAAATTGCAAATTTCACTTTTAAATCAACAAAACGAATCTTCAAGTTTTTAGGGGGCGTAGCGATTAGCATCCCAGGTCTAGCCATCTTATAACTCTTGAAGATTTACCAAAGATAGAAAAAATCTATAAACAATTTATGTGTTTTATAAGACATTACACTGTCCAAAAATCATCAAAAAAACCCCAGAAACCTGTAAGATGGCTCTGCAACCCACCAAGTGAAGTTGAAGTTTTCTTGAAGTCTTAGAGAGAGCTTCAAGATTCGTCAAGATCTTTAAAGATCTCTAAAAGAAAATTAGTAAAAAATTTTCATAAGCAGTTTTGCAAGTTTTAAGCAGAGCAGAAAGTTTTCAGCAAAAAAATAAACATAATTAACAAAAATTGAAGCAAAGTTAGTGAAATTTGTCAAGAAATCTGTATTATATTTTGTTTATTTAAATTTTGAAGGTTTTAAGCAAAAAGTAATTTTTGTATTGATGATTTGTTAATTCATTGTCGCAATGCTTTATTTTATCGCATATGTCATTAGATTCAATTGCTTTGCTAATGCTTCAATTTATTATTTAAACTGCTTCGGAACTTAAAATTTTAAAAAATTTTAAAAAAATTGAGCAAAAATTGAAATTTGTCCTGATGTTTTTAGTTAATTCACGGTCGCAATTGTTCAGTTTGCTGCTCATGTCTTGATGTTCAATTGATTTGCTAATGCCTCAATTTTCATTAAACCAAAAACTATCAGCAAATTTTTCAGAAAAATTCTAGTCAAAAATTGAGTTTTTTACTGATAATTTTTGATTAATTCATAGTCTCAAGGCTTCATTTTATAGTTCATAGTTCTCAACTCATAAAATATAAAATTTTACATCTTTTAGAACTTACTTGTTTTTAAAGCGATCACAACCCTCGATTTCAAAAAAAATCTTTAAGATTCTTTGCACTTTTTGTTTTTTATCTTCAAGATTCTTGGAGTTTTCCTAAAGACTTTAACCGTTCTTCAAGATTTTTGACACAGTTTTACCAAGCTTTCAAAGAATTTTCTTCAAGTTCTTTCAAAGAACCTTCAAGATTTGTCAAAGATTGCAATGATTGCTGGGCTTGGGATGACTGTCTATTAGCAGGCAGTAATTGCTTTAACTGGGTTTGCTGTCAGACAAAAACAAATTCGCTTAGACTTTCAAATAATTTGGAAAACTACTTAATTTGTTAGGGAAGCCATTTTTTGTTTTTCGCATAATTAAAAATTCGGCTGGGTACATGCTGTTCAAAAGTTTAAATTTGAGTAAAATTGTTAAATAGCGAATCTTCAAATTACATTCTTCTACATGGGGATGATAATCGACAAAAATGCTAATAGGGCGGTCTCCTAAAATTGTACATCTATAATAAATAATTTCTGTAATCTACTCGATTCGCAATGTACTCGAAGCGAAAGTTATAGATCAACCGTACAATTTCAGCCCCCCAATCGATTTAGGGGCAAAAAAGTATAGATTTTTCTAGAACTAATTTTGAGTATAGCCTAGATTTGTTCAAAACTAATCCTATTAATAAAAAAATGGATTTAAAACAATAATTTGTTTATTTAACAGCGTATATACAAATGCAATCCCGCATATAAAAAGTCAAAATCAATTTTACTTGCGCGTTTGTAAAAATGCATATTTTATAAGGAATGATTTTTCAGAATTAATACATGCTTCGGGAGGGCATTCTACGGTAGGTCTTTTAGGGGGAGATTGTACGGTTGATCCGAAGTTATTCTGATTTTTTTACGAAAGTTTCTGTCGAATAACTCACTAGACGAACGAAACGGGTTATCTCAATTCCATTTAAAGAGATATCTAAGCTGGAAAAACTTCCGGACGTAAGCAGCGCTATAATAGAAAACGGCAAAAATATGGGCACTTTCATTATCTGTAAAGTGATTAATTGATTAATTTGCCATTTTTCAAACCCACATAACTCTACATAACATATCACAGGTAGAACATCTTTAATAAATTGGTTTCCAAACTGAGCGTTCAAATTTAATTAAAAAAATTGAAAACTATAACACCAGCTTGAGAGACGCTAAGAGGTTGATTAAACTGTCAAGTAACGTCCCATGCGATTGACAAAACACAAACAAAAGACTGCAGCTCGAGATTCCATTTTCTTCTTTGAAAGTCCACAGAGACAAATCTTGAGGAATTAGCATGCCAAAAAGTGTCATGCCATCTAAACAGTCCTCAAAAATGTATTTCACCAATGAACACATTTCCAAACTGGAACCAGTCGATGTTTCAATTCAGATCAAAAATCAATGGCTGACACCGGAAAAAGACAAAAAATTGAGAGAAAATACCAATTCGAAAGTTTACAACCGTTGAAATGTGCAAACAAGATGTATGTTTGTGTTGTTATTCAGTATTTTTGTAAAGAAAAAGCTGATCGCTTTTTCCTTATTATGGTGTTCATCTAATAAATAATAAATTTCTTAAAAATAAATTGTGACCTTTTAATCAGATAACCATAGGCTCTGCTCTGTGCTTGTTGTCACGAACAAACCAAGAAAACCGCCTGTTAGAGTTTCAAAGTTAAAGTCAAGAGATTCCAAAATTCAATCCTACTGGAGTTTCTTTAAGTAATCTCACCAATCGGATATGAAAAGTTCTCTATCTGGACCGAAACAGTAATTGCATTCGAATTTTTAACATAAAACAAGGTACCAAATATTTGACTGATTTGGTTTACTTATATTTCAGCTCGCAAAGTCTAAGTTACGATTTGATAACACTTGCTGATCGCAAATTGAACTCGCACCAATTACTTTTGTAGACAAAAAACAGTCAAGACTAAATTTAACAAAAAAACTTTAAGAAACTTTTTATTGCTATAAAAATTCTTAGTCGTATTTCAGAAAAACTCATCCATTACCTTGAAACAATTTGTAAAATATCTGAATTATAAATAGAACAAAGCCGCTTGATTGCCAGAAACTAAATTCAAACAAAGTGAGTCACAGAAAAATTTACCAGAGACCATGCAGCCAAAACAACTGACATTTTTTCAGGTTTAATCTTCATATACGGAAAGCTTTGGTAATCACAGAAACCAAAAATCTAGTTTTTGATAACGTAGCTAAGAATTGGATTTAAAACAATTACAGATCATTTTAGCATAAAAAAATACAAACAAAATTTTAGGATTTTGCCGACTACAAACAGTTTCTGGAGGCCTGGAGCATCATGCACGTAAAAGTTGAAAAGTATGGGGGATGAAACTGAACCTTGAGAAACCCCGATTCGGACTACCCCGGTTGCCGATAAATGGTTCCTAAAAAGAGTCGACTCCCGGGCTCGACTATCACTAAGATAGTTTGAAAGCCACCAGACAATGCATGCAATTTTTTTTGGGCTCGTACAGAACTTGCTAAAGCTTACAGTGGCGGGCCGTGTCAAAAGCCTGAGACAAGTCGAGAGTTGCTAGAATCGTTCGCTTCCGGGATCGTTTTTGACTAAAACCATCTGAGATGTAAAATGCTTGAAATGACAGGGCTGTTGAGATTGAGTGCAAAAGTCTAAAGCCCCGGGATGACCAAAAATACTAGTCATACAATTTCCATATATGGAAAAATGCTAGTCATACACTTTTCATGCAATTCCACACGTGCAGAAAATTGCATGAAAGGTCTATGATTAGTATTTTTTTCGTATATGGAAATTGTATGACTAGCATTTTTCCATAAACCAAAAATGTTGATTTTTTACATTTTAATTTCTCAAAATTTTGTGGTTGTGTTCGTAAACGAACACAAATGACATAAACCTTGATTACTCAAACGTAGTAACCAACGGTTTGGCCTTCTCGCATTGAAAACGCATTGGAAACAGCCTGATATGTGTTACTTCTGTCTCAGACAAACAATATAACGAAAGTAATAAACTTTTAAATTTTGGCAATAATTTTCAAAGATGATTATTTCTAAAATTTGAATTTTTAAATTACCAAACATTGATCAAGGCATTCAAAAACATGTCATACAAAAGAACGAGGAGTTTTAAGCGTTTTTGAAAAAAGTTATGAAGAGAAAAGGAAAAAAAATCCAATATTAGTATATCCAGGACTACGTTATACACACAAAAAATTAAATTTTGCATGCAAATTTTTTTTTTCAAAAAATGTTTGTTTGAATACGAAAATCAATTTGCGGTTGAAAAAAAATCATAAAAAATTTTTGGGGGCAATTTCAAAAATACTTAGAAAAATGTTTGATGCATTTAGACTGTTTATTACCTTATAAAAGACCGAACTTTTTCAAAAGATTCTTCTCTATCTTTGAGAAATCTTCAAGATTCTTCAAGATCTCGGCAAATTTTTCAAGATGACTGCATCTGGAATCTTACTGTCACGAAAATCTTGTTTGGAGATTAAAATTAAAATTTAATTCATATTTACATTCAAACTTATTTATTTACATTTTGTTTAAATCGCTGCATATCTTTAATTATGTACATGTGTACATTTTACAATAGCTGTACATTTATAGATGTTAAAATGAGTTAAAATTACTGTTTCTATTTGGCCGGGACTGTAAAATTTCAACTTCGGTCAGCTCATAATGTCTTGTTTTGCTTTGATCTGCTGCTACTGTTGTTGGTTTGATCTATTGCTGGCAGCAGTGAGAGAGTTTCTAGCCGACTGCTGTCTGGATGTCCTGGATGAGTGTCTGCTGTCACTTCTCGCTTCCTGTCTGGCCCAGAAGTCGCTCACTTTGCTCCCTATGTCCTCCGCCTCTTCTCGCATTGATCTTTGATACTGACGCAACTCCTGTACTTCGCCCTGTTTGCGCACCTAGTAAACAAAAAGCACACTTAGGCAACATAGCCAACAGACAGTCGGAAAAGAGTCACTTAACACAAGGAAACAGGAAAAACAACAGTGGTGTTGTTTTTCTTTCGCTGTTCAATTTTAGAGTTTGCCTTCCGATTAAGGAAGTGAACTGAACTCAAAGTCAAACCGCTAAAAATCAAAAAATTTTGCTGAAAAGAAAAGCAAAAAAAATCATCACGACCTATATAAAGCCTTCATTACGTTCATCAAAATTAAAGTTCTGCGGGTTCCTTAATGTCTTGCGTCAATTTTCAGCTGAAATTATTTCTGAAAAATGAGACCCTGACCGTACTGACCTGGAACCCGCGGAAGAATGCCTGGATGCGGAGTGCGGCCTCTTCCTCTGTCCAGATGAGTGACCAGGGGAGGGGCTTCCGAGGATGTGTCTCGTTCCTCTCCCGCACGAAGGGAATCTCGTCCAACTTCGTGTAGTCTCTGCTTTCCTGGTGTCTATGTAAAACTAAGTTTATATCTAACAGCAAAGCTCAAATGTTTCAGCTCACCAGAAACGCTGAAGCCAAGTTAATTAAAGCATGTGCGGATGAATTATGGGCTTCTGGAAATCTAACGGCAGCATGCACAAGAATTTGATAACTGGGAAACGGGGCGGTTGATCTTTTCTTATGATAGCCATTTTGATTCTTTTCGAGCTCTGCCGAAAATTTAGAAAGCACTGCCGGCTATTTTCAGACGTAAATCGCCTTTAAAAAGCTTTTTAAATTCAGATTTCATGAACGGTATTATTTCATTATTTCGGTATTTTTAATTTTTTAGGATCAGTCAATCCGCAACCGAAATTGAAGAGCGTTCTAGGGTTGTAAAAGCTTTCACTGCTTTTTTAATAATTTAATTACGCACTAAATTAAATGAGGATCATGTTAAAAAATTTTTCTCGGCTAGGCTTCAAGAACTTCTGATTACGACGACACCCATATATCATACTTGTACCACACGATATTCGAGAAAAATGATGCTGATAGTAACTTTAGTTTAAAGAGCTGTTTAAAATGTCTGTACTTTGGGTTGTGGTTGTAGAGGTACTCTGTGAGAAAGTCGCACCCGTTGAACCGGAAGTATTTCCTCTCGAAGCACTGCTCTTTCCCAGCCCTCTGCAACAACTCGAGCAGACCCGGCAACAAAACCGGAAACACTTGCGACTCCAGGTACTCTCTCGGCGAACAGTTGATCAGGTCGACCTTAATTTCATCCAAAGTTGAATTTCACATCCACTTTTCCATCGCAACTCAATGTTTAAAAACTCAATTATTAAGCCAGGGACGGATCAACGATTTTCTCGGGAGGGGGGATTTTCGAAAATTTTGTCAACATTTTTTAGGTCGACCGAATTGATTTTCCGAGCGCTCCCAGAACACTATAAAAACAATATTTAGGCAAATGTTTGAAAAGAAAACAGGTCAAAAATGCTCGTTTTTGAACACTTATTGGAAAATTGAATAAAAAATTGTGACTTTTCGGCGCGCTCTCTCCCACAAAATTAGTAAAAATATTACCAAAGGGGGACCCTTTGGTTGGCGAGGGGAATGAATCCTTGAGAGGGGAAGGGCGTTCACTCCGCAAATCCTCCCCTGGATGAAGCCCACTTGCAACTTAAAATTTTTGCTTCTAGTTCACCTCAATCTAACAGAAATGAATTCTTCATTTCTCACCGTGTCCAATATATGATGGTCCTGCTCCTGTTCCTCGGCGGACTCCACGCTGTCATCCTCAGTGAGTTTCACTAGACCTGATAAACAATTCATTTGTTCTCGGTGAGTCAGAAACCTAAATACAGCAGTTAACCTAGAAAGGCGAGATGATCCTCTAGAAAGTGTAATTATTAAACTTTTCACGGCATCCAACAGAGAAAAATAAATATTTGTGCTCAAAAATTACGAACTTAAATCGAGGACTCTGAAATTAAGTTGTGCTAGCATAAAACATAATTATGAAAAGTTACTTCAAGGAGATCACTTGAGTCAGAAAAACAATTTTTGCGCTCTGGTATGTCTTTTTCGGCCAGATTTTAGATGTATATTTTTAAGGGTTTCAATTCGTACAATATGCGCGCTAAGAGAGTTAATCCAAATTAGACTACCTGCGAATGCGGGGTGACAAGTGTCAATTTGAAATTCTGAGAGACAATTGGCGTCTATGTCATTGTGTGTGAATTTGCAGTCGAACAGGGCCGGGTGCAAATTACTACTGGAAAATTGGACTGTTTTTGGGTCAACCTTGCTCTTGGTTTGTTGTCTGAAGGGGTCTGCAAGCTGAAACTCCTTGCAGATCTCGTCCCAGATATTGGGCGGCTCCCTAGTCACTACCACGGACATATAATCTGAATTAAATCAATTATATCTCTCTTATGTAACCTGAATCAATAGATCCCATTTGACTTAAATCTGAATGCAATATATATATACATCCCAAACATAGCTAACAGACAGTTGAAAAATAGTCATGTTGGAGTCACAGTTGGAAAAACGCAAAATAGAAAAAATACTGAATTGTTTTTTGAAAAAACTTCAGCTTACGAATTTCAAAAAATTATCCATAGCCTTTAAAAAATTTGAAGAATAATTTTTGATGGATACTTTTTTGATTAAATTAACTGGAAACTGGATCAATAGGCAAACCTTTTATTTCGCTGGGAAATCTGATAATTAATTTCCATTTTCGAAATTAGAAGTCGATCACGTTTTTCGTAGGTGTTGTGAGAGGATTACAGTTGCTGATTTGGGTAAATATGGCTTAACTAACATGAAAATCCCACTAATTCTACTACACTTTCGTCTCACTTATTACAGAGTGTAGTAACTGCAATTTAGTCTGAAAATGGTAAAATAAGGAACTAGAAAACAGAGGAATGGTAAAATAAGGAAGTAGAAAATCTAGATACGGGTTCTAATCCCGACTCTCCCTGGTTATGTATTGATAGGTGTTTCAACATTCATAAGTGTAATTCATAACATTGACTGCTAAATTGATTAACAAAAACCAAACTGTTTGCAGTCAAAAACTTTACGTTTGGTCATCGTTGCAAGCTCGCTAAATATCTTTCGCTCTTTATGGTGTTTGAATTGAAACTTCAAACCCGAAGTTTCAAGTCAGGTGCACTTAGACACAGCAGAGAACTTCACAATTCAAGGAAACAAGCGAAATTTGCAGGTACATAGATTGGCAGCCGATTTTTCTATTGGTACCATTTTTTGAAAATTGGTACAGTCGTTTTTGAGAAAGTTGAAATTTCTGCAAACAGTGAAAAATGTTCCACAGCATCACAAAAAAACGGAACACAATAAATCCCATACATTTTCAAACTGGACCTAACACTAGCCAGCAAAAAGCAGTAAGGTATGCCATTTAATTGTTTATCCTTAAATAGGCTTAAATATGAATAAATTGAAATTCAAATGAGCACTTTTATTTGCGACTTAGGTTAGAAAACAGTTCTTCATAATAAGACACTACGCTTCGATGGTGTGTAATAATGAAATTCAATTTTGAGTATTGAAATTAAGTTAATTATGGCTTAACTGGGCACTAGATTTTTCTATTTCTGACAACTGCATGTACAGGATGAGTTTTTAAAATTCTATAATTTTTTAGTTCTATTTTTAAGGCAAGCTTTGAAGCAAAAAATCTTCGAACTCTAAAACATTCGGAAAAAAAATACAGCTATGACAATTGAACTTATCAGTCTGAATTAATTCTGTAGCAGATCAAATTTTTTAGGCGATGAACACTTGATTCAACCACATGAGTGGACTTTCAGTCAGATAAAACTTTAAGCGCCATATACATAACAAGTGACTGCTGTTTTTATTTGGCGAGACGTATCAAAATTTTAAAATAGCATAACACCAGCCTCCGTTGAAGTGAAAAAATTTCACAGAATATCATTAAGAATTATTGGGCAAATTTGAACAAAATGAAAAAAAACCGGCTCGTTTTGACAGCTCATCCTTGGACCACAAAAACACCCATTTTAAAATTTTCTAAGCTTATTTTCCTAAACAGCTTTTTTTTCGGATTCAGTTGCTCAAGTTGATCGATTTTGCCGACAATTCTGCTGTGCTTTTCCTAAGTGATAACGCTTGCTAATGTCGAGCACGATCATCGCAGACGTACCAACTTAGTGCACCTTAATCGACGGGGTGATATGAAAGAAAGTTTTCAAAACAATTTTTGTATTTAAAAAAATATGTAATAAACTTTTTTCAGAAAAAAAAAACTCAAAATCCGCAAAAAATCTTGTAGCTCAATTACCTTGATCCATGGTGCTTTAGAAATGGAATTCAGGAATTTAGAAGAAAGCTGAACATCAAAAAGCGCCCGTGCTACGGGAAAAGCTGTCAAAACCAAACAGACCGGACAATAGTCCGAAAAGTTATTTACAAAAGCGTATCCCGGCCGGATTCCAACCACAAATACTTGCCGTCTCAAGAAGGTGTAAAACCTCTACGCTAAATGCGCCGGATAGTTGATTGATTTTGAAATTATTATGAAGCAAGATGATACATCTGCGAAATCTTAAAAATGTTTACGGAGAAAAAGTATCGTACCTGGTTGCAACACCCTTGCTTATCACAAGAGCAAAAAAACTCTTTAAGCGACAAAACTCACCTATATTTCACGCATAGGCGTAGCTGTTGATGCACGGGAGCTTTAATAACGCCTCCTGTTGATTAAAATTAAAATCGAAGATTTGGATGGGCAGTTTTTAAGAAAATGTAAAAAAAAATCCAAAAGTATGCGTCAAAAACTCCTCCGCACTCTTTTCCGAAGGCTGTAAAAAGTGAGTGACATTAAAAAGAGACTGGGTAATTATGCAGTCACACAGGGTAGTGGTGGGCGGACTTCCGATTGTTACCACTTTTTGAAAATAGATTGGGAAGTTTTTGAGAAAAACTGAATTTTTGAAGGAAGAAAAGATTTTCCATAGCTTCAAAAAAATATATAAATCCCAATTCCATACATTTTTATAAAACCTGTTTTTATCAAACACGAAACAAAGAAACTGAGCTCCGAGATGAGGGGGGTTAGAATTATCTGGGCTTGTGATATAAAAAAAATTCCACAATGAAAATCTTAATTTTAAACTTATTCTGCTTTGTCTTACGCTGCCCTGCCTTGCGCTATCCCGTCTTGTTTTGCGATGCTCTACCTTGCTTTCCGGCGCTGGCATGCTCTACCCCGCCTTGCCTTGCGCTGCTCTGCCTTTTTCTGTGATGCGCTGCTCTGCCAAGCTCCTTGCAATGCCTTATAGATAGCTGCTCTGCCTTACTGTGCGCTACCCTGCTTTGTTTTGCGCTTCGCTGTCTTGCTTTGCGCTGCCATACTTTTCTTTGCCTTGCCCTTCTTTCCGCTGTCCTGCACTGCCTTGTCTGGTGTTGCGCTGTTCTGCCTTTCCTTGCCTTCCGCTACCGTTCCTTGCCTAGCGCTAATCTACCTTGCATTGCGTTGCCCTGCCAGACTCCTTGCCTTGAGTTGCCTTGCCCCTTCTTGCCTTGCCTTACGCTGCCTTCCCTGCATACCTACCTTGCCCAGCCTTCCTTAAGTTGCCCTGTCCCTCCTTGCCTCGCGCTGCCTCTCCTTACGCTGCCTTGCGCTACCCTGCCCCTCCTTGTCTTCCGCTGCCCTGCCCCCTTGCCTCGCGCTGCCCAGCCTTGCCCCTCCGTGCCTCGCGCTGCCCTGCCCCTCCTTGCATTGCGTTGCCCCGCCCCTCCTTGCCTTGCGCTGCCCTTGACCTTTCCAAGCCTGCACATTCGACCTTGATCTGTATCTTGAAAATTTAAGGTTTTAACTCAAATTGATTTCTTAAACGTTATGAGTGGTGAGCTGTTAAATATGGCGCCCACACCAATTGAAAACGACTTACTATTAAAAATAAGAGGACAGTCAGCCAATTTCATCTTAACTTATCCAAGTTCGCTAAAATTAGTCTGAAAACCGAAAATATTCAGCCCAGCTTTTCTCTGCACTGTGGAAACTATTTCAAATTTTCTTTTCAGAGTCCGACATACGATCAAAAGTATGATATCACACTCCCTACGAGCTTCATTTGGTAAGCAAAAATGGCAGGAAAAAACCAAATCGAATTCAAAGTTCCTTTCACTTTTCCGGTGATCGAACAAAACTAATAGTGCACTGAAAGCAAAGTGAGCTAAAAATTATGAGCCGGAACTGAGCTTACTCGTAAATGCACATTCTTCCAAAAACTTTCTTTTCTTAGAAGAATTGGTTGCAATCGATTTTCCAAAACTCTCTTTGCTTATCAAATATCAGCGTATTATTACCGAAACACCGCATGCGAAAATCAATTCAACTAAACTTCAAGAAAGGAGCTTTTCGTACAATTTATGATTCCATTTCCGACTGCCAATTTTTTACGTAAATTTTTCCAAAAAAATATACAGCATCGCAAAAACAATAAGCCCTCAACAAAATTCTCAAACTCGAAAATCACCACATTGTGAGCTCATTCAATGAAAATACGAAAAGAAAAGATAAGAAAATTTTTACAGCTTGAGCTTTTTAAAGTCAATATATATATACACATTTACACAAATTTTGGATATTTACAAAAATCACTATTTGGATTTATCATCGCTACAAAAATTAATCTAAATTATTTTTTATAACTTTTTTGCGGCGACGATTTCTAAATTTTCCAGTGCTGAAACTGCAGCTCCTCCTAACATACATACAAACATGCCAATAATGAGTGCCAAGCGGGGCCAAAATGTGCGGTCGTAGAGAATTATATCTTTTTCACTGTTTCTATTCTCTCGTGGAAGGACTATGAGCACAACAGAGACGAGTGCCACGACTATACACAGGATAACTCCTATGAGTGCTTTTCCTGATCGAACTAGAAATAGAGCTATGGCGATCGAGAGGAACCAGGCGAAGAGAAGGATGAAAGCGCCAGGCCCGAATCCACCCACTGATCCAGCCTCAGTTGTCAACAAATCTACATCACTGTCACTGCTAGACATGACAAGTTATCTGAAATTACACCAAGTTATTTAATTACATGCGTTTCAAAACCAGATAATCGCTCATTTCAGCGAATTATTTGGCTATAAAATATCCGTTAGGCTCAGAAAATCAATACAGAAGATCAGGGGATCTAGGACTTTCTCGAGGGGGTGGGGGTGCGGATTTTCCAAGAAATTCGAAAACTTTGTCGAACTTTTTTAGATGCACCAAATTGGTTTTCTTTTCATTTCAAGACAATTTTATTATTGACACTTTTGATAAAACTAACTAAATTCCGCAAGAAATCTGAAAATTAAACTCCAATTTTGAAACAAGAGATCTATCACGAGT